CTGATTGATGACTATAGATAGCTCTGGTAGAAGATTGACTTAAAGGATCGACTGAATAATTCTTCCAAGTTAGATCTTGGGGCGTCACACACATGTCACATCATTGCTTTCAAGAATCAACTGAGAATAAATTATAGTAATACATTCCACAAGACACCTGCTCTTTGTGAACTGAAATTATTCATCAATTCATCATCCTTGCCAAACCGTTGTGAAGTATGAATGAATTTTGGTTTTATGTTTGGTGCATAAATTTCTATTTAAATGTTTAGAATTTGATATATATTAGATTTTGAAATTTTAATAGGCTTTGAAAATTGACCGCTCATGTTGAAATTTACATTCAACACAATCATCATCGGGGTGGTTGGCACTTTTAACAAATCTGCGAAGCATTCTCAGATCTCACATTTAGGAGCTTGACGTAAAGATCGGAGCACATGCAAAATATTTCATTTCAAGAATTTAAACTATTGGTAGGATTTGAATTTAGGTTATGAATAAATGATTTTACACTTTTGAGAGTATTTTGAAAATTATATAGCTATCTCCGGTTAAGATTTCCCTCCAACATGACTATCATCAGAGTGTTTGAGAACTTTTAACAAATCTGCAAAGCATTTCTAGATTTTGCATTTAGAAGCATGACATAAAGATCGAGCACATGCGAAGCTAAAAGAGTGGTGATACTTCTATTAGACACATATGAGAAGCATCATTGAAGCATCAATGATGGACAAGGTAACACTTTTTTAACCCAAAAGTTTCAATACTAGGAATTTCTCATTGTTGACTTGATTAAGCCGACTGATTATGCAAGTTAAATAAATAGAGTGTAGGATGATCACAATATTGAAGGTTATTTGTGTAGAATAAATAGTTGAATGAACTAGAACCCATTTAAGTGACGAGTAATGATATTTAAACTAGTTGTGTTTTGTCAAACATGTGACAAAGTAATCAAGTAGTTTTAACCTTTTGTTCGCTCGAGGAAAGGAATGGCGCTACGGCACGAACTCCACTTTCTGGTCTTAAGGTTCCATTAGGTAGATTGGATTTTAAATTAACCAGATTTCCCTCAATTAAGTATATTTAGGTTTATTTAGTTATAGGTTCCTACTTCCTACAAGCGTAAGCCCACATAGTTAATTATCTCTTCTATCGTATAGAAGAGAACTCTAGATTAAAGATTAATTTATTTGTTAAATGTGCAAGTGTTTTAATCTTGTTTGTGGAGGATAGAGGTAGACCCGATCAAGATACTATGGTTTTTTCATCCCGGGAATACCGTAGATTTCAATCTACCAACACTAACAATCGTTGCTCGTAGTGTCCATGGAATCTGATTAGCAGTCATGGGTTGCATCTTCTCAAGGATCCCTAGATAACTGAAGTGGATAGATGTAAATTTTAGTATTATGGTGGTTGGGTTTAAATTGGGGCTTACGGCTTTGCTTGAGAGTTACTCGTAGGTTTTAGATTTAGATTGCGGCTTACTACTACATTTATAAGTTTATCATATGTTTTGGTTTATATCCGGGGCTTACGGCTTTATTCGGAAGTTCCCCGTAGGTTTAGGTTTAGATTTAAGTCTTACGGCTCACATTGGAAGTTTCCCGTAGTTTAAATTTAGATTTGGGTCTTATGACTTCTATTGGAAGTATCGCGGTTGTTTGATAAATGGTTCTTATTGCTTTCATTGAAAGTAGCATGATTGTTTGAGAAGTGGGTTTTACTGCTTTCATTGAAAGTAGTCTGATTTTTTGAGAAGTGGGTCTAACTGCTTTCATTTAAAGTAGCCCGTGTTACTTTTCAGGGACAAGATATATGTCCTAGGAAATTTTTCCTAATATCCTGACTAAAGTAGGACTTAACGTCCTTTATTAGAGGTTGCCTATTAAACTTAGCTTAGCCTGAATTTAGCAGGGGACACTTAGTTTCGTACTCTTCATTGTTTCGACACATTCACTAGTGTTTTGTTTACAGTAGTATCATCTTTACATTAACACTTGGCTTCTTGTACCATGCACTGCAGTTTTAACTTTAGTTGTAGTGTTTGACGCACAAAATTAGCTCTTCTTGCTTCTTTTGTTTCAGTAGGGCTGTCAATTCGGGTCAACCCGTCGGGTTCGGGTCGAACCCGACCCGACACGGATCTAAACGGGTCAACCCGAACGATAAACGGGTCGAATTTGAGAACCCGAACCCGACCCGTTTATCAAACGAGTCGAGTCCAACCCGGATTTTCCGGGTCGGATTTTCGGGTCGTGTCAAATATTGACACCCCTATGTTTCAGTACTAGTTTTTATTTTCCAGTTCGAGTTTCTCTTTTCAGTACTAGTTTTGTTTAACACCCTGCGTTGACTTTTGTCTACTTATTTGCAGGTGTTTGAGGCTTGCACAAAAGTTTAAGCTTGTCAGGAGCTGAAGTTTGCAGGTGCAGTTAGCCAGGAGTTGAGTTTGTCAGGAGAGATTGTGATGTAAGACTATGAATGCTTTAAATTATTGATATAGGAATTTGCAAATTTTCAAGTAAGAGCAATAAGAATTAAAATATTAGCCACTTAACGAAAATGGAAAACAAAAAAGGGGTGCCTTAGTTTAGGCCAAGTCACACAATAATAGTTAGGATCACAAAATAATTAGAAACTTCAACATAAGCAAATATAGAGGATTTCCAATAACATCCCTAAATTAACAACAATATTAGATACATAGAAGTCCATCACTCATGCCCTACGTTTACTAAACTTTGGGAGATAGCTTTGCATGATTCCTTATATTGTACACAACCTGCAATCGAAGAGATTAAGAAGGAAATTGAAGCGGGGGAAAGAGTTCACCCTTCTTGGCGTGGCGGTGATTTGCCATTGAACGGTGGAAAGCTGTTCTTCAATGGCTTTCGAAAAAGTGAATATGATACGCTCCAAGTATTCCTCGACGGAAGTATCAACCTTCGGATTGACATCGAAGAAAGGTGATCGGAGGATGTTGACGAAACCTTAATCTTTGTAGACAAATCTAGAGTTGAGTTCAAGATTGGCCATGCATAGGATATGTAATGTTGAAGTGTTGTGGAAGACATCCTTTGTTGTCCTTGAGGATTCTCCTTGAAAGAAAGAAGTTTCTCCAATGAATCCAAGTAGAAGAAGAGGTGAGAAGGTGAACGGCCAAGGGAGGGGGCTTGGGAAAGTTTAGGTTCAGATTTTAGAGGTGTTAGGGTTAGGAGAAGGCCAGCTAGGTTAGAGAGCGAGGTGGGGAAATATAGCTCAGATTTTAAAGGGTGGAGGATGAAGGGAAATTAGGTAATTATTTCCCTAATTAATCCTTTAAATTTGGAAAGGATTTAGGAGAATTTGGAGAGAGAGAGAGAGAGAGAGAGAGAGAGAGAGAGAGAGAGAGAGAAGGGGGAGGGGTAAGAGAGGTGAGAGGGCTTGAATTCATTCCAATGAGAGAGGCTTTATGTTTGGAGAGTAATTAAATAGTGTGGACAAGGAGGGAATGGGGAGTTTCGGCCTTTGGAAGATTGGAGTTATACGATTTTTATCTTAAAATAGAAAATAACATTGCCACACTTTTGCTTGTTTATAAAAAATCAAAATTTTGATTATGCATTTTAACTTCTAATGTAAATTGCTTTAATATTTTTTGCATTTAGGAACACTTCCATAATCAAAGAATTGCGAGTGTTCTACTGATATGTAGCAACTAACAGCCTGACAGGTGTATTTTTTAATTATTGATCAATTTACTAGCATATAATTTTTTTGTTACAAGCATAAATTCTTAAACTAGTTGCTATTAAAATTAGATATATAACGGTATTACAAAAGAAAATTTGAAGAAGATAATCAACAACTTGTATGTGAGGAAAACAATACACAAATTCAACAAGTCTCTGTAGAAAAAAATTTAGTTGATATCCCTGCCAATCTTGCATTAAGAAAAAAAAATTTATAGATTTTCATCCTAATGAGAGGGATAGTGTTCGGAGACATTACTTGCTGAAAGGACTGTGTCAACTGTGTAATCATGAATTCCCACACACAAAAATTGGTGATAAATTATGTAGATTTAATCTTGCATTGTTTGATTAACATAAAGCTTGGTTAGAATATAGTACAAGCAAAATATGCATCTTATTGTTTGTTTTGTTATCTGTATAGACCTCAAAACGGTGAACAATGTAGCGGTGACAATTTTGACACAAAATGTTTTAAAAATTGGAAAAAAAAGGATATATTTCATATTTATGTTGGTAATATCAACAGTGCGCACAATATTGCTAGTCACAAATGTGAAGACTTAATGAACCAAGAAAGAGATATCATATTTGATTTTGAAAGACCTTCTGATCAAAATCATAAAGACTATTATACACGATTAAATGCAAGCGTTGATTATGTACGTTTTCTTTTTCAACAAGGATTAGCATTCCGGGGGCATGATGAATATGAGGATTCAGAAAATCAAGGGAACTTCCTTGAACTTTTTCATTTTCTTGCTAGACATAATGAATATATAAATAAAGTTGTTTTGGATAATGCTCCTCGAAATAATAAACTAGTGGCTCCAAAATTACCATAAAAAATCACATAAGCTGCAGCAATTGAGGTTTCAAATGTCATAATCAATAAATTAAGAAATGATGTCTTTGCGATTTTACTTGATGAATCTCATGATATATCAGTTAAAGTAAATATAGTGTATTGAAAATATTTTTTAGTTATTTGGTTCACTCCACTATAAATGCTAGAAATTACTTCTTTGTATTGGTTTGAAATGCATTCATGTATTTGTTTTACTTTAGATTAGGATTACTTGCAATCAAACAGCCCCTTAGTGACAGAGTTGTTAAGGTCAAACAGGAAAACTAGTATGTGAAGAAGATTCCAAATGTTTCATAAACACGTCTCTTCAAATTGAATCGAAAAAGTAAATAAGGCAAATAAAGGAAAAGGGCCGGGGTACATAGAATTAAAAATTAGAACTGGCTTACCTCAATCCAGAATGTTCGTTTAGGAGGAAGATTTCTGTCAGAATTCTCAATGCAAAAGCGTAACAGGTTCACAATGGATGCTTCAGTAACATAGTCCGTATTTTCTGAATAACAGCTATTTCATATGAGCGGAATGCTGTTCTAATTTTGACATAGGAAAAAAAAACAATCTTACAATGGATAACCACCTGGAATGTCAAATATTTGCATGCAAGGAGGGATTCCCAACAATTCTCCAAGCTTAGCACGTACAAAGGCACGATCATGAAATGACAATTTATCACCATGCGTAATTACAACAGCAGGCTTGTTATCTGTACATATAATGGAGAAAAATAATTAGTTCAACGCCCAAACACTTTCTATGTTACTTTTTAAAACTCAACAGCATACTATGCCAGTTTATTATACTAATGACAGGTGCTTCAAGAAAAGATGAGCCTAAAGCATTGTGCTCTTTACCTAACTCGTAACATAAATTTCATTCCCTTATAATTATCAAAATCAAAAGCAACTCCTTCGTTGTTTACCTTTGATAGCAAAATACTAATTCAATAATTTGATGTCCCATTGCTATTTAGAATTTCATCAAAAAAACTTCATTTGACATTCGCTGCATTTTCACACAAAATCCAATGAATGCTGTTTCATTTTGGAGAAGCAGAATCCTCGCCTCAACTTCTTGAACAAGTGCTTTTCCCCCAAGAGTTTCGCATATATTCTTAAGTGAACTTCTCGAAGTACATACTCTGGCTTTGATTATGAAAGACACTCAAATGAATGCTCTTTTTTAGTGGCGTAGCCACGATGGGGGCAGGGGAGGCACGTGCCCCCTGCCCCCATACGCGTCGAGACAGTCTTGTCAGTCATGCGTGAGTTGAGTTCTTCGCCGAATCTCCATGTCCCGTGATACCGTCTCTGTTTGTTGAGGAAATCACAAAGAAACAAAGTGCTGTGATCTGGATTGACTGCATATAGCTTTTGCATTTGGATTTTGGAGAGAATTATTGCTTCTGCTAACCGGTATGAAGTTCTTTTGTATACAAATTTTCAAACTTATTATATCTATTAACAGTAAGGTTAATTCTTTTGTGTAAATATATTCGAGCTATTTTCAAGATTTACTTCATTTAGAGTAAAAGTTAGATAGTTTAAAATTTTAAGAATTAAATTAATTAATTAATTATATATATATATATATATATTTTCGTCTTAATCCAAACAATTAGCTTAATCCCAAATTTTTGGAGTAAAGCACATTATTAAGATATTTTCCAACCTAATTTTAGATTCACAATTTTGGTTAGTGCTTATATTTTTGTAAGTAATAAATTTATATTATATTTTAAATCTTCAAATCTCTTTGACAAGAATTTTAGAGAAGAGAATTTAATAAACTATAATTTTATACATGTCAAGACAAGGATTGCAATTTTCGATTCAAGTATGTTAAAATATTCTTCATTAAAAATATATAGCTATTTCGTTCAAATATGTTTGCTTTTTAATTTAATTATATATCATTTTTTTTCCATACAAATGGAGAGATACTTCAAAAGAAAGGCTGAAGTTGTTAAGCAAGATGTAAATTGTGATGATGTTAGTACACAATCAAAATATCATAGTGTGGAAATTTTTTATGATTTACTGGTTGATCTTGGATTAAGAAAAATTTTTTTGATTATCATCCAAATGATAGGGATAGAGTGAGAAGAACATACTTATTGAGAGGGCCTTATTAGTCTCGAGATAATGAATTTCCACAAGCACAAATTGGAAATAAATTATATAGGTTCAATCCGGTGTGATTTAATGATTACAAGCACGTTTAGAGTACAGTCGCACCAAAGATGCATCTTATTTTTAGTTAAGAGTACAGTCTCACTAAAAATCCCAATCTCTTATTCAATTGTCACTCTCCCTCACGCCTTCATTCATTTGCCATCTCTGTGTCACTCCCTCCTCTTTTTATTTCCCTCCTCCCTATTTTCTTCTTTATTGTCACCTTATCCTTCACATCTCCTCTCACGCACACAAACCCTCCAATGATCTCTTGTACTCTCACCCTTCTCATGAAGCTTTCTAATGTAGATGTAGAAAAAAAAGGAAGTGAGAAATTGTGTGCGCAAGCAAGCCATCACTTACGCAAGTGGAAGATATTCGCAAGATAAGAATAGGGCATAAAGCTTACGACCATTTTATGGGTAACAGAGATTATTGAAATACACGTTTAAATAAACTAGCTAATACTCAATCAATAATGTATTGCTTGCATGGAAGATACGCAAAAAAGAAAAGAGACGGAAGCATGAAGAGATAAGATGCAACAAAAATTTATTCCAAAACCGCTTATTATTCATGAATACAGCCCAATGGCAATGGAGAAGCACGCACCTCTAAATGCAACATATGGAGAGTTAAAAGTCTGAACAATCATGTCAATATACTGGGTTTCCTTGCTTTCCATTGATTCTAAAATAGACACTCCATTAACAACCAAAATGACAAAATTTACTGTCCTCTTTTTGCAAAAGTAGCCATGAAGGTTTTTTGCCTTGATTTTCATCTTGTTCTTTTTTATAGCATCATCTGAAATACTGCCACATACAAAGACAAATCAATTTATAAAAGTCTGCAAGGGCTTAATGATAGAAAATTAATGTAGACAAGTCCTGAAATTAAGCATCAGATCACTTAATATTTCTACTTAATCATCAAATACTTTATTAACATTATAATTATATTAAAAAATGAATGCAATCTCTCTGGAGTTCACATATATTTTGAGATTTTGAAAAAAAAAATATATCAATTTAATTTTATTCTTTCCACTCACTTTAGAACAGTCTAGTATATAAAAAGAGGGACATAATTATAAATGCATCAGAGCATGTTGACATTGTTCAATATTTGAATGGAATGGTGAGTACATGATAAACTTTGAAATGCATGCACCAACAAATTATAGAATTTGAAGATTTGCAACAAAATGCAACAGCAACAACAGAATTGTCAAACTGATATAACGATCATACAAGCGATGGGAGATCACTTTTCTTCATAATCAAATATTTACAAATCAGCAATATTGACCTCCTTTTGCTCCTAATGACAAAAAGAAATTCATAAACATGACAAAAGATGAATTACATCTAAAATATGATAGAAATAACCCTTCTTGTTGGGGTGTTAAGCTACATCAAATTTTCCAATGTATAGGTATAAATATTCAACTTCTAATAATTGCTATTAGTAGTAGCTTTCGCTCATCATTATATTATTTGTCATCGAAAATCATCTAGTTTATCCCAATTAGCAGGGGCCGTTTAATGGTTTGAAAAAATTGTAGATTCATGTGAAAACCTCACAAATGAGCATGCCAACTAAAATTGTTCTTTGATAGTTTGCAACAAAGCATGCCCTTCATATATGAGCAAATCGCCAAAGTGAAATGATGCTCACACAAGCAATGGAGAAAATTTGTTATTCACAGTAAGCCTCATAATACAAAGTACAAGGTAAGAATATTTAAAATGATTTATCAAACAATCAAACTCTACTCTTAATAAAAAAAAATGCAACAGATGATAAATACAAAATAAAATAGAAAGATCAAAACCAAGGCGGTGGAGGCATTTTTAGCAAGAGGTTGTCAAAGTTATAGATACACGTGCAACTTAAAAATAATAGCTATTTCTTAATTCTTGCATTTGTAATTGAACAGCTCCACTTAAGCAGGTTAATTTAAGCTTTTGTCCCGGCACACTCCCATTTCTAAATGTTAACAAACCATCAATTGACACACCCTACACATAGAATTTCCATACTCAAGCAATTTTAGCATGATGTTGCTCCATGTAATTGCTTCTGAACTCATCTCATTGGTACTTTAACAATTTGTATTAGTGGCCAATGAAGAGACAATAGAGACTGCCATGATCATGTAGCAGATAGGTGAAACATGATATTGTAATTTCTATTGAAGTGTGAGCCTTCTCATTGCCTCGCCTTTTCTCTTTTGTAAATTCAGCTTTAATAAATTGTTAATTAAAATTCTACAATCTTAAAAATCAGCATATATCGTTGGGACAAAGATAATAATGATGATTCAATTAGAAAAAAATTGACTTGTATTGAAAACAGCATAAGCATGAACCGCTCTTTTAAAAATCTCCCAAATCAATGAGAAAATTAAAAATATGCAATTCACCAAGCACCATAAAAAGGTTTCAAGCTAATTATCTCACTGGAAGGCCATCTCTCCATGTACGACGCCATTGGTCATCCATCGCATGAGTAAATGCAAGTTTTCAGATGGCACCAACGACAAGCTTCGAGTATCATAAACACAAAGTGTCCCCGAGTTCCTCGGAATTGGGTATTCCTGCAAGAAACAAGTACCTTCCCCTGTTCTAGCATCTGCGATTATGGATTTTGACCAAATACAGCCAAAATGAATTTTTTAGGACATTTTAAACCTTGGGTTTACTAAATCCTGCCCATATCAGGATTTAAGGTACTTATACTTAATAAAGTTTTAAGGCTTTAACGATTTAGTAAATTCTTAGCATCCAGACCATTTTTTGGATTAAAAAATATCAACAACCAAACAATTTTCAGTAATTAACCACTCCCAAGTTTTACAACATCCGAATTTAAACAATTTTCTAAATCCAACCCTCTATTAAAGCGACTAAAAAATCCGAACTTCTTAAAAAATCCAATTTTAAGGGATTTGCTAAATCCCTCAAAAGTTATGATTTCATTGTCACACACAAAATAAATGAAAACAAAGTCATCACTATGCAACCAAATTAGCCCTAATAGCTAAAGCAGTATCCATCTGAAAAGGACCTTAGAATGGCGAGCTTCTCATCATCAAGGGCGCCTCGGGATTGTGCTCGGGAACTGCAGTACGATTCCATTAGAGCCATGAAAACCTTGCTTTCTCTCTCGTCTTCGGATGCGCTTTGAGAAAATGAGAACGACTCCGCCTTGGAGCCATCCGATTGCTCTGCAACTGTGTAATCGGAGCATCCAATGGCATTTAGGGAGGGTTTGGGGAGGGATTCCGGGTGGGTTGTAGTTTCGGGGAAAGAGGAATTGGGAAGGCATTTTCCTCCACCGCCCATTTGCTGATCTTCTCTTCTTCCGCCGCTTTGTGCTGAATGATCGCTGAATGATAGATGTTAATCTATGGGGGAATGGGTAAGGGGAAGTCCATTCGACTCGACCTCACTGAAATTGTGGAGTGGGAGTTGCGAGATTTGATCCCGCGGGAATCGGGAGAGGCGCTCTTTCTGCCTGCATTCAAAAGTCAAACCAAGATACGGTCTAGAAATTAGATGAAGCTGATAGTTTTTTGGATTATTTATGGAATGTCGTTTTAATTCTAGATTAGTTAATGTGTTTAGATTTTTTTTTATTCAGAATTTAATTGAAAGTAAATTTTTGACAATTTTTAATAAATAAATTATTTAAAATCATATTTGGGAATATGTTGAAATTTTGAGATTAAGGGACTATTTGGGATAATTTCCTAGCTGTTTGATTTTTCACACAATAATTAAAGATTCATTTTACTACTATTTTCTTACTTTTTTTTTACTATTTTTATAAATTTATGTAATGGAAAACTATTTTTTACAATCATATGCTTCATTTGAGACAAAGAATTCGAACACTACTTTTTTGCTACATTCAAACAAATTTTTTTTTTTTAAATTTGTTTTAGAAAGTAGTAAGAAAAATGTCTCAAATGAAACCTTAGTAGCTATATTATTTTTCTCATAACAACATCACAATCAATTTTATAAAAAATTGCAACTGTCCCAAACAGTCCCAAATATTTTTATTTTTTATTAATGCAAAAGAAATGTTGAGTCCTGGAGTATTCCCCGCAGTAAATAAATATAAAGCTTAACATCTTAGCTTTGTACGAAGATCCAGCACGCACGCAGATAAAGAGAGATTGTACAACATTTATAAGAGACAAAAATTTTTACGTGGAAAACCCCTAAAAAGGGGAAAAAACCATGAGGCCTAGCCTAGTTTGAATAAATCCACTAGTATTTGTAGTTTATTACAAATGAGACCCTTCATGGGGGGAGGTCTTAGCTTGATGTACATCATATGGAGTACATTACATGGTGGGAATACAAAGAATCAATGTTGACGTGTTCGTTTCGTTAGAAGGACCATAGTCTGGTGACGGAGGTCAGAATGATTGAAGTCGGTCCACGACGTAAGTCGGGAGAATTGTAGTCGACAGGCGACGAAAGTTATAATGATCATTGTCTGGCGACGGAGGTTAGAAGGACTGTAGTCGGTGGACGACGTAAGTTATAAAGACTGTAGTCGGCGAGCGATAAAGGTCATAAAGATCATTGTCTAACAAAGGAGGTTGGTAGGACTGTAGTCGGTGGGCGACGTAAGTCGGAAGAACCGTAGTCGGCGGGCAACGGAGTTCATAAAGACAGTTGTCTGGCAATGGAGTTCAAAAGGATTGTAGTCGGTGGGCGACGTAAGTCGGAAGGACCGTAGTCGGTGGGTGACGGAGGTCATAAAGATTGTTGCATGACGAAGGAGGTCGAAGAACTGTAATCGGTGGACGACGTAAGTCGGAATGATCGTAGTCAGCGGGTGACGAAGGTCACAAAGACTGTTGTCTGATGACGGAGGTCGGAAGGACTATGTTAGGTAGAAACCCATTGATGAACCTAAGTCCGGCGTTGGATAGATATTCAGCGAAAGCCCGACAATGGGCAGAAGTATGGCGTCGGTTGGAAATATGGCGACGAGCGGAGGCCCGACGTCAGGTAGAAGTCTGGCGACGAGTGGAGGTTCGACGTCGGGTAGAAGTCCGACGTTAGTCGACGATCAAGCAGAACTCCTGCGTTAGATGGTATTTGGACAAAAATCTAGAGTCACTTGGAGATTGGACAGAATTATGGCGTCACTTGAAGATCGGATAGAGTTTTGACGTCACTTGGAGATCGGGTAGAGTTTTAACGTCACTTGAAAGTCAGGCAGAACTCCGGCATCACTTGAAAGTCAGATGGAACTCCAATAGTGGTCGATGAGGAGTTTTTTCCCTCCTCTTCTTCTCTTTTCCTCTTCTTTCTTCTTTCTTCTTTCTTCGGTCCCATCTTAAGAGAAATGATGAGCTATTCATAGTTTTTTGAGGGTGGGATGACCCGTAAATAGAAGGAGGGTCAAGGGCAAAAGGGAAGTGGATTGGATGGATGACCAATATTGAATCCCTGATTGTGGACCATTCGTCAAACATTTGAAGGTCTTAATGATATCAGAATTCGACAATCTTGGGCTCGTTGGATTCCTATCGTTGAGCCGCTCGATTCGACTATAAGCATGTCATGTTTGGAAACCGCTTGGTAATCCAAATTGTGGTTTGTACCTTATAACAATGCTTCGGTCTTCGATTCATACACATTTGGACTCGTATTGAGTTGAATTTGGTGTCGTTGGGTTCGTATTTTCGAGACGCTCAATTCGACTGTAAGTTTGCTGAAATCGGAGTTCATATGATCCCATATTTAATTTTTGGAGCTTATGGCCTGGTTTTGACTCGAGATTCGTGCCCGATCAAGATAATGTTTTGATGATATATCAAGTAATATGAGTCAAAATTTTATGAATTTTAAATTTCCCTTATAATTTATTTTTTATGTATTCAAAACTCAATCATTTTTAGCCCAAGTTCCAAATGCATCATAAGTTGACTTCAATGTTAATACCATTTGGGGCTACTAACCACCAGCCGACATCGCAATACACCACTGTTGCCAAAATGATGAGGACCGTCATATGCCATTTCATTGCCCTCCACCACTGTTAGCCAACATCCACTGCCATTGTTAGGCTTGACATTACATATATTTTACTTAAAATCAAATAAAAAAAATAACCAATATTTATTTTATACTCATCCAAATATGTCAAATACATTATATTTAACTTACACTATATTCCAATTTCTATGGTATCTCCCTTAATTTGATAATAGAAGATGTTAAATGTAAATCTTAAAGATCATAATTTTTTTCAAGTATCTTTCTTCACACCAACTTAGATTTCATTTAGGACAGTTTTCTTCTTGCTTCTTAAAAGCTGAAAGCCGCTTTATGAAGCAGTAAAAAAGTCGTTCTAAATGAAGCCTAAGTAACTTCTTCAAACCAAAGCGAGCAACTTTCTACAGCAAAGCGAGCAACTTTCTATAGCGAAGTCAGCGAATTCTCTTAGTTAGTATTAGACTTTCATCAAGATGCTAGCTAAGTTAATAACAAAAGGCTTAATTGTTTGTGTATTTATTATTTATTTATTTAAGCAACACAACTCTTCGTAATCTTTTTTATTTGTGTGGCCTTATATGTAGTCACCTTATATGTAGTCAATATTATGTTGCACAAACTTCAATCCAAACCCATAAATAGATGGTCAGAGATAGAGCTCGGGCCTTGGGGTACAAGAGGCATATGTGATTTTATGTACTTAAGCTCATAAAGTTAAATAACATAGTTTATCGCTCTATAATCATTTTTCTCTCTCTCTCTTATTCTTTCCTCCATTGCAATCTTTAAATTTATTTAAAAATAATTAGACCATCTAAGACTTATAACTAATAAGTAATGATATGTTATTAAAAAAAAAAATCTTGACCGGGCACGAATCTCGATGCAAGGTCAAGTTGGAACTTTCAAAATTAAAATTAGGGCCATCTGAACTCCGATTTCAAAAAACTTATAGTCGAACTCAGAGTCTCGAGAATACAAACCCAACGATAAACCCAACGACACCAAATTCAACCCAATCAGAGCCCAAACGAGTTCAAATCAAGGGTTAGAAGTATTGTTTGAAGGTTTGAACCACAATTTGGATTACCAAACGGTTTTCAAACATAACATGCTTATAATTAGGGGTGTCAATTCGGGTCGGGTTCGGGTCGAACTCGAAACTGACCCGCCACTGTTCGGGTCAACCCGAACCCGACCCGTTTTTAAAAACGGGTCAGGTTTCCGGACTCGAACCCGACCCAATTCGGGTCCGGGTCAACCCAATCCGACACGAATGACCTGAAGTTGACCTAAAATTGCTAATTTTCGAGTCAAAATCGGATCAATATTCGATTTCCGAGTCAAAATCGTGTCAAAACATGTCAATCTCGTGTTTTCGGGTCAAGTATGAGTTTTCGTGTCACTTTCGGGTCACTTTTGGGTTACTGGGTCAACCCGAACCCGACACGATTTTTTAAAACGAGTTGATTTGTTCAACCCGAACCCGACCCGTTTTGGGTTCGGGTTGACCCGAACCCAAATTTTTTTTCTGGTCGGGTTCGGGTCGGGTTTCGGGTCGGGTAAAAAATTGATATCCCTAATCAAATCGAGCGGCTTGACGAAACGAATCCAATGAGTCCAAGATCACCAAAATCCAAAATTACTAAGATATTCAAATGTCTATCAAACGGTTCATGATCAAGGGATTCAACATCGGTCTTTCATCCAACCACTCCCCATTTACCTTTGATATTTCACCTATTTACGAGCCATGCCACTCCATAAATCTATAAATAAATATCTCATTTCTCTTGAAAAAGGATCCAAGCAAGAAGAGAAGAAGAGAAGGAAGAAGCTCCTCCTCGACCACCGCCTAAGTTCGCCGGACCACCACCTGAGTCCCTCGCCTTCACCGGACCACCACTTGAGGCCCTCACCTTCGCCAGACACTACTTGAGGCCCTAAACTCCATCATGCCATCAACTCACGCCCGAGTTCTGTTAAGTCACTATCAGACTACTAACTAACGCCCCAACTTCCAAGTGACGCCAGATTTTAACACTAGACTTCTGTGATGCCCCAGAATCAAATAGTGAAAGGATTCGTCTGACATTCTGATCGAACTCCATTCCAGTTGCCTTGCTCGGACCTGAAAATTTAAACCACATATAATGAGCTTACAAAGCCCAGCAGGTCACCAAAGCCTACAACTGAAATCAAAGCACGGCAATGCTATCAATATGCAGGTCAATATAAAATCAAGTCAATCAATGGCCAATGAGTCTATGCAAGGAAGAAATCCATTGTCAATGAAATCAAGTCTGCATAGCGGAAATCAAGTCAGTACGGAAAAACATCGATAAATCAATACGTCTCAGCAATCAAATCAATAAGTGCTTCAAACATAACAAGCTTATAATCGAATTGAGCGGCTTGACGAAACGAATCCAATGAGCCCAAGATCACCAAAATCCGAAATTACTAAGATATTCAAATGTCTATCAAATGGTCCATGATCAAGGGACAACATCGGCCTTTCATCAAACCACTCCCCATTTACCTTTGATATTTCACCTATTTACGGGCCATGCCACTCCAGAAATCTATAAATAAACATCTCATTTCTCTTGAAAAGGGATCTAAGCAAGAAGAAAAGAAGAGAATGAAGAAGCTCCTCCTCGACCACCGCCTGAGTTCGCTGGACCACCACCTAAGGCCCTCGCCTTCGCCGGACCATCACATGAGGCCATCGCCTTCGCCGGACCACTGCCTGAGGCCCTCAAACCACCACTTGAGGCCCTCGCCTTCGTCGGGCCACCACTTGAGGCCCTCGTCTTCACCAGACACTACTTGAGGTCCTAAACTTCGTCAGGCCATCAAATGATGCCCGAGTTATGTTAAGTCACTATCAGACTACTAACTGAGACCCCAACTTCCAAGTGACACCAGATTTTAACAATAGACTTCAACCATACGGTTGACATTTGTAATCTGATCGCCCTAAAGGATGAGTCAGGCCATTGTACTCAACTCAAATTCTAGTGAAATCTTTTCAACTGGACTAGACCCCATGATTTTTTCCCTTTTCCAGGGTTTTCGACATAAAAAAAATCTTTGTGTTCTCTGTGTGTGAGCTGGATATTCGTGTAATGTTAATACGTAGAATTACAACTCTATCGCTGCATATATTCTAGCCCGCAACAAGTAATAAATAAATTAAAATGAATATTCAAACTAGATTGTTTCAATTATTTAGCTCCTGAAAAAACATGTATTATAGAATGATAATGACTTTGCAGAATGATACTTACTGACTTGTCGGCCGACTTTCTTTTCATGTGGATAGTACTTCTCCTAGGAGTTCGAATCATTTAAAGCGAGCACCCTAGTGAGACCATATCATATATTTGTGAAGTACATGCATGTGCTTGCACGAGTATACAAATGATCGCCAACTCTAGTAGGTCGTCGATGGTTCGAGGTGAAGCGAGAGGTGTGTCATAATGTAAGGATATCAAGTTATTTTATGTGGATCCTGGATGTAGCTATGTGTCAAAAAACCAATAAAATTGTGATGCGTGGAATGTCCATGCGGATATTCATCGGTATTTCATTTATTATTTATTATTTTTTTTTTCTATCTTGTCAACCCGACGGACTCGCACATGTGTGCTAGTTATGCAGTATTTATAATAGCTTTGGATGCATACAGTTAAAATCCTTGATACGTCATCACAAAATTATCTTAATCGGGCACGAATCTCGAGGCAAAAGATAGTTGGAAACTTCAAAAAAATAATTTTGGGAGCACCCGAACTCCGATTTCAGCGAGCTTATAGTCAAACTGAGCGTCTCGGAAATACAAACCCAACGACACCAAATTCGACCCAATCCGAGTCCGAATGAGTCCGAATCAAGGACCCGGAGCACTGTTGGAAGGTTCAAACCGCAATTTAAGTTACCAAATGGTCTCCGATTTTAATGAGCTTATACTCGAATCGAATGGCTCGACAAGACGAATCCAACGAGCCCAAGATCGCCAAATTCTGTCATCATTAAGGCCTTCAAATGCCCAACGAACGGTGCATGATCAAAGGATTCGATATCGGCCGTCCATTCAAAACACTCCCAATTCGCCCCTGATCTCACGCCTATTTACGGACTATGCCACTCCTGAAAAACTATAAATAGAACCATCGTTATACACAAAGGGGACTCAAGTGAAGAGAGAGAAGAATGAGAGAAGAAGGAGGAGAAGGAAGAAGCTCCTCCTCGACCACCGCCGGAGCTCTTCCTGCCGCCTGAAGACGTCGGAACTCTGTCGGATATTCAGGAGAACGCCAGAATTCTGCCCAACTTCCATGGGATGCTGAAATTCTTCCCAATTTACAAGATAGTTCCCTCCTGACGCCGAAACTTTGCCCAAGTGAAGCCGGAGTTCTCCTCTCCCACCAAATACGTTGGACTTCTACCCGACGTCGGACCTTCACTCTTTGCCAAGTTTCTACCCGACGCCGGACTTTTACCTGTTATCGGACTTCGCTGGACGTCTATGTGAATATGCATTTCTTTCAATTGTTGGACTTCTACCTGACGCTGTCCTACTGATCTTCGTCGTCAGGCTACAGTCCTTCCGACCTCCGTCGCCAGCCGACTACGGTCCTCCTAACTTACGTCGCCCGCCGACTATAGTCTTTCCGACATCCGTCGCCCGTTGAATACGGTCCTCCTGACTTATGTCGCCCGCCGACTACAGTCTTTCCGACCTCCGTCGCCCGCCGACTACGGTCCTCCTGACTTACATCGCCCGATTACAGTCCTCCGTCGCCATCTGACTATGGTCCTCCTGACCTACGTCGCCCGTCGACTGCAGTCCTTCTAACAAAGCGGATACGTCGATAGTAGCTCTTTGTATTTACATCATGTAATGTACTCCATAAGATGCACATCAAGCTAAGGCCTTCTCCCAAGGAAGGGCCTCATTTGTAATCGACTGCAACTACTAGTGGATTCATTCAAATTGGGCTAGGCCCCGTGGTTTTTCACGTAAAAATCTTGGTGTCTCATAAATGTTAGACCCTCTCTCTTATCTGATTCCGTGCCGGATTTTCGTACAATTCTAAGACGTTAAACCATATATTTCTCTACCGCTGCGAATACTCCTGGACGCAACAATCCTAATGAAACATGAGTTGCCTTTATGAAAGATCAATGGACCAGACGTTTGCTATTGCGTACATGATTGATTAGAAAATAATTTATGAAGCACCATCTTCCATCAAAGCTGAAAACATTAGTAAATGTGTATTTCCCTTTAAGATACCAAAGTTATTTGAGTTGTGCACACAAACTAATAAAGATAAGCCCAATTTTTTTTTTTTCTACAATTAATACATTGTAAGGTTTCTTTATGTGCTCTAATAGTCCCAGGGTGTCAATTTCGGGTCCACCGATCGGGTTCAGGTCGAACCCGAAACTAACACGGCACTATTCGGGTCAACCTGAACCCGACCCATTTTTGAAAACGAGTTAGTTTTCCTGACCCGAACCCGACCCGCTTCGGGTTTGGGTCAACCCGACACGTTCCGTTTCCAACAAAAAAATTGCTAGTTTTCGGGTCAAAAACGGGTCTATCTCCTATTTTCGGGTGAAAAACGGGTCAATCTTGGGTTGCCGGGTCGAAATCGGGTTTTTGGGTCAAAATTAGGTCAATTTTGGATCAATTTCGGATCAAAGGGTTAACCCGAATTTGACACAATTTTTGAAACGGGTCGAAATGCTGAACCCGAACCCGACCTATTTCGGGTTCGAGTTGACCCTAACCCGAAATTTTCAGATCGGATTTTCGGGCCGTGTCAAATATTGACACCCCTAAATAGTCCTACCCCTAAAAAAATCAAATATTTTAAAATAGAAAAGTGAAAATAGTGTGAATAAAGCCGATAAGGCGATAAAATTTAGGCTTCATTTATAATAAGTTAATAACTTTTTTACTATTTCTTAAAACAATTATAAATAATAATAATTTTGTGCTAGAAAATCGCTTTAAAAAACAACAAAAAAATCATCCAAAATGAAATCTTAATATATTTACTTTTTTTTTTTGGATATTTAGGTCGATTAAGATAAATTGACATATGTATCACATATGCACAACTCAAATGTAAAATCTCTTGAGTGATAATGAAAGCTTCCGACCTATATATATCAAGATTAGCTGCAGTAATAGACCAACTTTTACGAGAAAATTCAGAATTAACTACTGTTGTTAAGTAATGCCTAAAGCGGTGAGATCAAATATCTTGCATGGATCGATGCACTGATCGAATCACCATCAAATCAGGTCTTAGCCACCACTCCGCACCGCACCAGAACAACGGTGACGATGCAATTGCGCTCAGCCTCCTCCTTCCTAACGTTAGTAATGCATCTTATTTCCCATTCTCGGCATAGGGTTTCCTCAGTACATTTTTTTTCGAGCAAATCTCTTCGCTCTATCGCTTTTCAGAAAGATAGCACCAGAGCCATCTGTACGTTTCGTATGAACAATCCCCATGATCTCTATGTGTTTGCTTTTAGCTTTCTCCGACCTGTGGCAATTGTTTTTACATTTTACTTGTTTGCACTAGTTGATGTCATCAAACCGACTTCTTTTCAATATAATAGTATCTTTGGATAGGGACGAATGCTGATATGTTCTTGATACATAAAGTTATAATCTTGATACCTAAGGGCAGTGATTAATAATAAAAAAGAGAGATTTCTATGTCCATTTCTTTGACATTTTAGGACTGCATTGTATTTTAAGAAGCTGAGAGTTGAAGCACTAGCGGATTTGAGGTTGAAAGGCAAGGGCTCTGAAATGCGATCATCTAACCTAGCTATGCCGGCTTCAGGCCGGAAGAAAGATAAAAAAATGAAGATTTCTGCAGATTGCAGTGAACAGTCGGAGGAGAGTATTACTAAGGTTAGAAATGAAACATGGCGTTTTCATTCTTTTATAATGGAAATGCGGGTTAGTTATTCTTTGATAGATGTGCTCACTTGTCATGGTTACGTGAATGATCCCTCAGGAACATGCTGTGGAATCAGTTGGAATTGAGGAAACTAGAAGCAATCTGGATGAAGTTGATTCCATGACTGTGAAGGAACTTCGGACAATGGCAAGGTAAGAATCATATTATTTTCTTCACTCCTTTACTCATGCCCTTACCCCGAGATGTTGGAGTTTATGGTTGTGATTGGTCTTAATATTGCTGTTGCTGTTATTTGTTCTCTACATTCAAGGAGTTTCGGTATCTCAACAAGAGGCACTAAGCAGTACTTAATATCTTCACTGAAGTGTTTATCATTCAAAGGTGAAAATTTTTCATATATATTTTTTGTTTTGGATTCAATAATGAATATGAAACATTGTTTTTCTCCATCTGGTTGAGGCACTGAAGTGTAATGTGCTGCTTCATTAAGGGAAAACCGCCATATCAGAAGGCATGGAGAGGCCTTCTTTAGCTTCTGAAAATGTGGCCTTAAAAACAGATGCACAAAATTTAGGTTCTGAACATTTTTCTCAAGATGAACATACTGCTTTAGATGTCATTCACAAAAAACAAAGGGGAACCAAAAGAAGAAAGCAAATGGTAGAGAGTACTATAGCTGAAGACGATTCAAAATATGTTTTGGAGCGCAATGAATTGCCTATCAATGCAGAGGAAGTTATTGGTATGTATACTTTTTCTACAGATTCATTCTAATTAGTTATTTGTTTACATGATGGAATGATGTGTTTTTGTGATTGCAGGGACAGGGCAATCTATCTCACAAAAACAAGACTCTTCAATGGTTCAAAGTTACCAGAAAGTTTCAACTCAAATAGGTTTAGCTGCAGACACTAATGAACATTGGATTGTGCTTGCGCACAAGAAGCCGCAAAAAGATTGGATTCCTTATAATCCTAGAACCATGAGGCCTCCTCCTCTTAATGAGGACACCAACTCTACGAAGCTTGTTTCATGGAATGTTAACGGCTTGAGGGCTTTGCTCAAGCAGAAGAGTTTCCGTACACTTCAACTTGTCCAACATGAGGATTTTGATGTCCTGTGTTTGCAAGAGACTAAATTACAAGCAAGTGAATATAAATCATTTTTTCCTTTAATAAGGAAATTAAAGTTTTTTTGTTTTAGAACCACAAAAACCTATTTGGTACAGAGATATTTTGTCTTTGTGGATACTATCATGATCTCGTACAACAAACTTACTCTAGAGTTTGTCACTTTTGTTGTCTAATGGCTAGATAGTTACACTTTAAAATGAACAGGAGAAGGATGTGGATGCGATCAAGCAGAACCTGATTGATGGCTATGATAACAGCTTCTGGACCTGTAGTGTTTCAAAGCTTGGTTATTCTGGCACTGCTATTATATCAAGGGTATTGTTAAATCTCTTTGCTGTCTTCATTGCTTAACCTCACATCATTGAATTAGCTTGATTCTACTTTCTTGGTTCCTTTCAACATCCCAGCTCAGTTGATTTTTGAAGTTTCCTTTTTATTTTCTTACTGTGGTTCTTTGGCATTCATGTGAAGATGATGGTTGATAATCCATTTATGTTTTAACTGTTAACGTGAAGGCATAAAGAAGGTTTTACCTATGGTTTTATCATAGGTTAAATTGATTGTTAAGGCTCCTATGGTTTTCCCTGCTTTAAAGGAAAGTTCTTTCCCTGTCATTTTTGCTGAGTATGAGCAAAGCTGTAGTTCCACTAGCATGTGCTGCTCTTCACCTTTTTGTAATGATTCATTCTTATATATTTTGTTTATTGAATGAACTATGCAATGTTATTTAGATCATTCTCGTGGTTTTCTATATCATTTATTATTAATTTTTTTGGCATGTGTTAAATTTCTGACGCATGCAAAGTGACGCCCTTTTGTTGAGGCTAAACTTTTTTTTCTTTTGTTACTCAAATAGAAAAAACCAATCTCTGTTAACTACGGACTTGGTATATTGGATCATGATACTGAAGGGAGAATTGTGACCGTTGAGTTTGATAAATTTTACTTAATAAGTGGATATGTACCTAACTCTGGAGATGGCTTAAGAAGATTGGTAATACAATTTCTTCTTCTTATTGCATTCTTTCTTTAATGTAAACAAATTACCAAGGTAAAATGATATTATAACCTTAAATCCAGCTATCCGTTATTTTCAGGCTTACAGGGTTGAGCAATGGGATCCATCGCTTAGCAATTACATGAAGGTAAGCCTCATCATTATTATAATCATCATTAGAAGCAATAGCAGCAGCATTCAATTGTCTTCTCACAAGTGTTTGTGGTCTGTTTATGATGATAACCACTGTTAAAAATTTATCATTGAAGTAATTTCTGAATGTTATTTCTTGATTGTTAACTGATAGTCTAATCCTTTTAACTTTTCTTCTATAAGACTTTCTTCTTTTTCTTGATTTTAATGGAGATTTTCGTGACAATACATTTGAGTAAAAGAGACATTTTTTCTGCAACTGAATTTTACACATCTAAACATGTGCTAGTTTGACTTTTATTCCTGTTAAGAAATTCTTCTATAGGATAACCTGAGTGCTATTATGTAGTTTTAAACTTTTGGTGGTTCAACAATGCAAGCAGTACATTAACATGATAGTTGAAATAAATATCAAAAGCTTGTTTGGTAATTGACTGAACACTTCAAATGATAATTAGTAAAGGGCGTGCAATTTTCCCTGGATGAATAGAAATTTAATGATGTGATTTCCCCTTGCTTTATGTAAGGCCTTTTTTAATGCGTTCACCTGAATGCTGAAAATAATGGTAGTAGCAATAAGTGCACGTGAATAAAATAATAAAATATTAAAAAATTGATTGACTAAATGAGACAAGCTACCTCAGGAAATGAACTTTATTTTGGGATAGACAATGCCATACTCACTCAGGGAAGAGTTATCTATTTTTTGTGTATGAAAAGGGTTAATCTTTACTAGATAAATGCATTATTGCTTAGGTTGCTTTTACCTGGAGATCTCAAGTTCTCCCCTGCACTGGTAAGATGCTTATGCATTAGCTACACCCCTCACCATGCTAGTGTTGTGGCCATGGAATATAAAATGATTACTTGATGTATGATGATGATGAAGAGAAGGATTTTGTGCAAGAAGTTCTTTGACTTCTTGGATTCATTCTAATGAAGAGGGTGGTCATTTATCCTCACATTAATAGTGTTTTGATGATGATGAAGAGAAGGATTTTGTGCAAGAAGTTCTATGACTTCTTGGATTCATTCTAATGAAGAGGGTGGTCATTTATCCTCAAATTAATAGTGTTTTTTTAATCACTTGAAAGAAATATAACATTGCTACTTTTTAGCGTTTAGAAAATGATTAATGCAGGTCCATAATTTTTATTTCATACACATCTCTCATGAACAAAATGGCCAGAGTGTATTTGAAGCTTAAAACTCAACCCAAAGATTCTAGAACATTGATTATGGCTAATCATAACAATACAAGGAAAGAACTGAAATAAATAGAATCCACCCAAATCTAAACCAAAAAAAAAATCATTTAATGGTTTATGCAGAAGATAGTGTTCCATTATACAAGAGAAATGTTTCTTTTTTTCTCAATTTAAAGTCAAAATGTTTTTAAAAGATTGTACAGCAATGAGGCTTGTGCTTCTGTTAGTTTTGGTTTTTTTATTTTTATTTTGACTAGTATTTAATGGTTATTGGGAAAGTAGTTTCTTGTTGCGATTCCCCCTAGAACCGAACCAACCAAACCGGCCCAGGAGGGGCCGGTTCAGTTTTATAGGATGCGGGCTAAGCTGCCTCCTTGGGTTGCTGCCCAAGCAAAGTGGGCCCCCCATGGGGCTGAAATCCGAGAAAGAGAGGGATGCGGCAAAAAAGCTTCGGGAAAGAATTTTGAAATTGCTTTATGTTAGGAAATTGTTTATTTGGAAGAACTGTATTTAAAGAACATGGGAGGCTAGGGTTAGGGCATGAATGATTATTGTGTTTTTTGGAGTTTTTCTCTTGATGTCTTGGGCTCTAGAACTTCTTCTAGAGATTGGGAGAGAATGATCCTCCTCTCAAATTGAGGATCAATTGTATCTTTTTTTTTGTGTTGGCTTTGCTTTGGATTTCCCTAATACAATCCACTGATTTTTTGTTGATTTCATTACATTCTTCTGTGTTTTCTCGCTGTTTTTATCAATTATTGCCGGGGTTGTTTGCGAACTCAAGTATTTCCTCTTGGATTACTTGCAAACTCAAGTATTTCCTATCATTTCTTCAACTATATACGGAATAAATGCCATCCAATCATTCATGTTATTACTACTTTTTCTGTCAGAATCTCTCTTGTTAGAAGCCTTTATTGTTATATATTATTATTATAATTGATAATGCAATACATGCAAATGAAAATCATTGCACCTTGTAAGTTGAAGCCAAAATGATTGTGTTCCTGATAATTTGTATTTTCCATTTTGTGATTGTTGGCTGACACGTGTTGAAGAATAGTTATTCAAAAGCTAACTATATGGATATATTGTGTTTTCCCTCTAACTTTACCTTTTGCATCATTTCAGGAATAATATATTGAAAATTTAGTTGGCCTAGAGTTTCTGGCTTTGAGTTTCCATGTCATTTTGAGTGACTGTTGGAAATTTTTTACAGGATTTGGAAAAAGCAAAACCTGTAATTTTAGCTGGTGACCTGAATTGCGCTCATGAAGAGATTGATATCTACGATCCTGTGGTAAGTATCTGACATTGCCGTAGTATAGTATGTGATAAATTTTTAACAACAAGGGCTTGGGAATGCTGTGTTGTGCTATATGAAGTAAAGTCACCACGACTATCACAGAGATGGTTAGGTTGTTCTGCAAGTTCATTGCTCATGATCATGGAGAAAGTTCATGTAAAATAGGATTTTCATTTGCATGTTTTCAACACATACGAAAAGATTGGCAAAAAACAACCACTACAGAAGAGATGGTCAGGTTGCTTTGCAAGTTCATTGCTTATGATTTAAAGCCAGGGAGAAAGTGCAAGCACAATAGGATTTTCTTTTGCCATGGTCACAACACAAATCAAAAGAGTGACAAAATACAAACATGATAGGAAGTGGATGCAATTCCAGCAAAATCAGAGAATGTC